GGGACTCCAGGATCATGACCTGAGCCGAAGGCAGTCGCTTAACCAACTGAGCCACCCAGGCGCCCGGTGAGAGAGAATCTTAAGTAGCCTCCATGCCCAGCGCAGAGCCGGATGGGGGGCTCCATCTCAAGACCCTGAGATCATGACCTGAGCCGAAATCAAGAGTTGGCGGTTTAACTCACAGGGCCACCCAGGCGCCCGTTTGCTTATCTTTCAAGAAGTCTACGCTATGATTTTAAATATAAGAACAATTTAAAGATTTCAGAATAAAAACTTGTCTGCAGTTATAGAATTGCCCTTTCCTTCCCCTGACTGTCTTCACTCAGTATATGCTATGTGTACTTGTGAATTCAAACTGGTTGCTGTTAGCCCTGAGAGCGGCGGGAGACCCGAGCATTCTCCGAGGGCCTTTGGAGTCCAATCTGAATATTCATCTCGTAGCAAGCAGCTTCATCCAAAGTATCCCTACGCTGAGGGCCGCTTCATTTGTACAGAAATTTACTCTCTCAGTTTAGTGACTTAAACAGTCTTCAGCCCAACAGTCAGTTTTAGGTTTCTGTTTCTTTCACTACTTTTGACTTCTTCTTTTGAATATGAAAACTGTGGGGACCCAGGTGCTTCCGTGGACCTTTTAGCACGCATAGCTGAGCAGAGAGTGCGGGCCCCAAGAGATTTCTCTTGTTATTGGAAGGAAGTTCATCTCTAATGAAGGTTGCCTGCAGGAGCGGGGAAGGTTGCTCTGTCCAGCCCAGCCCAGAAGAGCAGCGCTGGAGGGAACCACGGTCCTACACTTTCATCTGACCAATTTAGCTTATTTGGAAAAGGCTTTTGTAAACTCCCACATGAGATTTCTTACTCCAGGAAATACCTCCTTGATAGTCATAAAACCGAGAGGAGAAAGCAAATACACTTATCTGCAGCTCCACTTCCCTGAAATCAAAGTCCAGTAGAGACGCTAAGGATTTCGGAGACCTGATCTACAAGCCTGTCTCCCAACGTCAGTGGTCCTCAAGGCTTACTTAGCATAAAAAACACGTGGAGAGCTTGTTTACAGGGTAGATTCCCAGGCACTATGCTCCAAAATGGTTATTTAGGTGGGCTGGGCTGGGCTGCAGGAATCTGTCCCTAGCACCCTCAAGCTGCTGTTCCGAAGCCAGAAGGTGCTGTTGTGCCGAGAAGAGAAAGGTCGCCCTTTCGTGTAGACACAGCTTGGTGAGAATTAGAACAATCCTACCCTTTCTCCAGGCAGATACAGCCCATGCTGGCGCCTCCAGCTTGCCTGAGGAGCACAGGCTGAACCAGCCCTGCTCCTTCCTTTGCCGGCTGCCCGTGCAGAACCCAGTGCCAATGGCTTTGCAGAGCACACTTTGTCACCCACGCCCTGGGCTTTGTCATTTCTCTTCTGTTACAAACAACTACAGATCTGGTCTAATTCAGCAAACATTTGTTGGGCAGCCAATGCATGTAAAAGCGTTGTGTTACATTTGGTAGGGACGAAGGGGATATCTGTAGTTCCCTCTTGAGGCCAGCGGCTCTGCCCATCACTAAATGACAACCTAGCTGTTTTGTTTGCTGCCATCTTTGTTCCCACAGGAGCCGAGAGTAATGGAAAATTCCACTCAGGAAAAAGAAAAAAAAAAAATGGAGACAGGAGGAACTGAAATGGGAATCTTGGTGCACCAGTTTCGAAGAGAGACTACAACTCCTTTCTCCAGAAGGTTCCTTTCATGGAATGGCCTCAATGCTAGGAAACCTTGCAGAATTCTGCTCACATTTTAAACATCCTAATTGCACCAATTAGTGTTAGTTACAACTAGCCTTACACCTGTCTCCTCTGCCTTGGAACACCTCACTCTTGAGAAGAACAGCCTGTCTTCTTATTAATATTAACCGATAGTATTAGTGTATTACATTAATGTATTACTATATTATATTATTATTAATCAATCCAGGTACTAAATGTATTACTTAGATTTTCCTCTTCTTTCTAGTGTTTACTAATGCTAAATTTTGATTTTTTTCACTTTTTAAAAAATATTTTATTTATTTATTTGAGAGAGAGAGAATGAGAGAGAGAGAGCACATGAGAGGGGGGAGGGTCAGAGGGAGAAGC